ATTATTAAACGATAGAGCGTTGCCTCCAGTCTTGGCCCAAATCGACGCTATATTGCTGTTAAACTTATCGACTAAACGCTGAAACTTATCCGTCTCTTCGCAATTGCGGTCAACAAAACCCTTAACACTATTAACGTTCGGACTCTTATCCACGACTAGAAATGTCTCGTTTTCAACACTTTTGTTCAATACTTTGCTTTCAATATCTCGACAGTAAAAGGCTTTCGCTTTAATCTCTTCGATCGTCGGTTTGTTTCCGTCATTCATAACAATCGTCACGTTTTTCTTATCAATTTCAAACGCCTTTGGGTTCAGTTTACTATCAGTTGCGGGCAAATCATTAGCTGTGATGAGAGTCGGTTGCGAAGTGTTGCCATTCGTGTCGGCCATCAATCCCTGCAATAATCGGTTCCCATCAAAGACACCGTCGAGCGATCCTTTACTCATAAATTCAATTATCTTCTGTCCATTCCATTGGATTTTATTCTTAACGCTCTTCTTCTGGACTGTGGGCTCAATGGTGTCCGCTTTGGAAACAGTGTTAGAGTATTCAATGAATGTAATAGTGATGTGAATGAGAGACGAGTAGTGGTTATGAGAGACAGTGTCTGACAAATGCTATTCAACTCAATGTCAAAACGTTTTTGCCATTTGTATTGTTAACCCTTTTAATTGTGATCTATAGTGATCTAAAATGATCTAGATCATTCCATACACATCTAGATTTAATTTATCAATTCTAGATTGTATCAATGTTTTTGGTCCCAAACACGTGACCTGTGTTTTAATTATGGCACCAATTAATAGGTGTTTAGTGTTTTGCGATACCGATTGGTGTCTGTATTTGTTGTCTCATATCAGTCAACACTTCCGACAATTAGTTCATACATTATAACCGATATTCATATCAAGTATTTATATATTGTTTGCGAAACACAATTATATCACAACTGATATCATTGTTATTAATTATAATTAATAATAGAGTTAGTCGTCTATTAATGACAATTAAATTGATATACAATGTTATAAATGCAGCCGTGATTTGATTAATAGGATTCAATGTTAAGCATTAGGTTTAGTGCCCATAGGTTTGGTTTAACAAACCATTTGACACTTCAGTTGAATACCACTTGTCGTTAGAAACGAAGTTATATTTAATGATTTCATTTGTATTGATTTAAAAGGCTATTGTTCTCTATGTTTATACCTATCGTATAATTATATACACATGTATTGATGACTCGCGTTATGTCATAACAATGATTAAAGTGTCTGTATTTTCCTCTCACTCTTCAGACCCAATAATTACATACATATTGTCTTCAAAGACAGACACGAAATACATGAGTGAAACATATATTTCACACTCACTTTAATGCCCATAAATGTATGCTTTAATTATTTAGTTAATCATTTAGTGAATCAATTTGTTTGTGTGGATATAGTTTTGTTTGAATGCATTTTTTGGTATTTTAATTGTTTTTGATGCGATTTTTCTCTTTGTGTGTTATTATATTCAAGCTATGAATCGCCCAAAAAAAGTTGTTTCAATTTATTTTCCCTCGTTTTCCACTTTTCACTCAACCCTTCCCTCACATTCACTCTCACTAACAGTATATGTATTAATCGTTCAGAGAGAGAGAGAGAGAAGTTTCGATTAAAATACATATCCATAAGAAAACATGGATTATATAATTAAGTGTAAGAAATAACAAAACAAAAAATAGTTTTCTTTATCTGACTTTTATATGTCTTATAATAATAAAGCGTTTAAATGAATGATTGAATGGATTGATGTCAAGGACTTTGTGGGCAACAGATATCCCACTGAACAAAACTTTTCGCAAACTTTAAACTAATTTGTTGTGCTCTTATTTTTTTACATTAATTATGCATTTTATATGAAATAATGTTTATTTAAATGAGAAAATATTTATGTAATTTTTATGTAGTGTTTTAGGTGTATATAAAAAGTGTTGAGCCCTTTGTGTTTTGCAGGCATTAATCCAAAAGACAATTTAGTTGTGGTTATAAGGGATTAATTGATGTAATTTTAATCGCTGTTATAGTGGGTAAACCTCTCCACCAAATACCTTGTATTGAATGATAAATTTGAGATTTATATGCGATAACATCTCAGAGCTCTTTAAACGCCATTCAAATCATCATTAGTTTTGGTAAAAAGATTTTTCTAGAAAGAGAGAGAGAGAGAGAGCATTCTCTCCCAAATACTGTCTGCATATTGTTTTATATTACCCCTTTCTTTGAGCCAAAAAACTCTTTTTGTAATATTTTTTATTATGAAATATTTTTGCGTTCATTTCAAACGCTATCGACTTCTCTGTCTATAAGTTATGAACAAAGAAAATAGTTTGAGATGTTTTGAGGAAAAAATATTGTGGAAAATCATATATAAAGACAACGATAGAAAATGATAGAAATATTTTGAGCCATTTATGCCATATATTCGCTCACAAAGAGAGGCATGAGATGTGATTGACATCACATTTGAGGGTCACATAAGACTAATGGACGGACGATACAACTCATAGGTATCGGTGCGGCGCTCGTATGCGTACCTCTCACTCACTATTACTACCATCAGCTTTACTATTGCATCACGTTTTGCATCGCTTTATATTCGAGACAGTAATTGAAGATTCAATGCTTTTTGTATGAAACAGAAAGTCTGACTTTTGTTTGATATGATGTCGGAAATCATAGTCTTATTAATGATAGCATTTAAACCAAACAAATCTTTTTATAACTCCAGTTATGAGAGCACTAGTTATTGAGATCTGGTTTAATGCCAATGAGTTTTTGGCATCACTCGTGTCATACCATTCACTACACCCGAACAGACCTCTCATCTTCAGGAGAGAGAGAGTGAGTGAGAGAGAGAGAGAGAGAGAGAGAGAGAGAGAGCTGTAGCATTGAATGTAGATGTAATTTGAAGTGATGATGACTCATACGAATGCATCCCTCTTTCTGCCACTACCTGTGTATTCATTGTCTATCTGTGCCATAATGTGGTGCATATAATGTATACCTGTATTGAATGGCTCTTTCTTTATGGTATTAAATATTAATTCTCATATAAAAGGTTTGCTTTATTACAAGTGCTAATCAAACACATGTAATACAGTATGTATTGATTGACTGGAATAGAGTGCAAACTGCATGTCATATATGCCATTGCGAGGGCTTATCAACGCATTGCTTACACTAATCGCGCGGTTATATCCAGTTTTAGCCCACAATCACACGTTTCGCAAACGTATAGATTTTCGATGACATAATAGTCCGCACAACCGGTTGAGTGTGTGTTGTGTTCAGTGTTGACACGTTATGGCTGTGTATGACATGGCATGCGATGGCAGAGCACCTATCGATCCCTCACAACACATACTGACTGTACATAAGCATTGACTCTTACTGTCAGCTGATCTGTCAGTTTGTCTGCCTCTCCGCCCGCCGAATACCCAACACTGCATTCATTCACACAATCAGTTACTATTAGTTTGAAAATATTGTCCCCTTTCTTATGATTGTACGCCACACTCGCATACTATGACTGTTGAGTCTACTCATACACTGACCCCTAATGCGCGTAACGTTGTCTACGAATGTATTGCTGTGAGAATGCGATGACTTGTGTTGAGTGCAGTGTTTTTTTGCGCTCAATATTTGTGTTTTGAGGCAACGATTGAATGAATGGTTTGTTATGTGTTTTCATAAGTGTTTGTTATTAAACCTAATGAGAGATGTATTGAAACGAATGCATCGCTGACTCTCTGTCCTCTGTATTACCGATCGGTTGGCCATTGACTGAGTGGTGATGTGAGCGCACGGCTAGTGCTAACCAAAGGGTGCAATAGTGTTGTGAAATAATGTGTTGTTATTGTCGTTGCGATTGGTTTTAGTGTGAAAAACGCAAATATGTGTCAAATATTGTGTTGAACTCTAAGGCAAGAGACAGTCCGTTATGTTTGCCTTCATTTCGTATGTAATTATATAATGTGTTAATACTATTAGATATTTAGATATATGTTTGTTATCTCAGCCTTTTTGTCGCTAATTATGTGTGAATTGTTGGCCACTCTATCTCTCTATCGCTATCTCTCTATAGTGTTTGCAATGCGTATAATATGTTAACCTTTTTCTATACTGTTGTGACTTTTTTCGGGCTTTTTTCCTCATTTTGTTGTTTGTTTTGTTGTCTTTTTATTTACACTTTTGTTGTGTTTATGAATAGGTTTTTGTTTTATTGGCATTTCGTTGATATGTATGTCTTGTTTGTCGATGAAATGTGTGCCAAAAAATGGTTATTTGTTTATGAATTATATTTATATCTCATATACTATTACACTATTTGTATGTATTTTATAATAAGATTGTATTAATTGTGTGTTTATTTCTTTGCCAACCGATAGCCTCCCGAACTGGACATCAGTTGCCGTCGACTGACCACTAATGGGGCGAAAGCTGTTGTTAGCGCCGAGTCTTACGTTAACTTATCATTGATTTCGCGGTTCCGATGTTTTCGCTAAATATTTGGATTCAGTTTCGGCTTTAGTTTCGGTTTTAAAAGCGAAAGCTTTGCGAAGAAAACCGTATTTTTTTTCGTTTCAAACATTTTTATTTCACGACTAAATTTTGACGTTTAATTTGTATCGTTTTATTGGCCATTATTTTCGCCAACAAATACAAGACAAACAAAAATCAAACCAAAAATGTATCGTTAAATGAAAAAATTGTGAGTATTTTATGACAATTGATTTTGTTATTGTTTATACGTTGTGTACTGTTAATTGGTTTTTAGCTTATTTCGTTCCCTGTGTTTAGATATGGATATTAGTTTAGTGTTTGTTTAATAACTGTATGTTTGTTTGACTCAGGGTTTAGTGCCTTTAAATTATGGTTATTTAAAAATATTATTGATATTTAGTTATATTTTTCGAAGCAATTAATTGTATTTTTTCGATGAGATTACCTTTTTATGTGAAAAATTGATTAAATTTGCAGTCAATTTATTTGTTTAATTAGAGGTTTATTTTTAACCCAATTTTTTCATGTGTTTTAATTAAGCAAATATTTGCCAAACAATCGATAAAATAACACCTAATGTATTGAATGTATGGATTTGTTTAGATAACAGCCCAATAGTTTAGCTTCAAATAGCGTCAACTGAAGGCCCACTCGTTAACAGCAGTGCCTTTCCGTCGGCCAACTTATCGCCGCCGACCCCGAAGTGTCCGAACGGAACAAAGGGTCGACCGATAAGTGTGTTGTTGTGCCCGGAGTTTGGATGAGAAGAAGTCAATCGAACCGTAAATTGCAATCAAACATGAAGTTAACGCATCAGAGGACCAGTCGTTACGATAACGCACCCGAATCTCTGACCGATTGGCTCGAAGAACAGTTGGACAGCAGAGGCATCGACGCCGTCGTCTACACCCGATATATACTGAGTCTATTGCTTGAGGACAGCAGCGACTCGGATGACGATATCGGCGGTGGCGGCGGTCTCTCCTCTGTGTCCGCGTCGGACATCAATCGGTGCTCATGTAAGCAGACGTGCGCTAAAGACAACATACGTCCCGTCACTTCCACCAAATGGAAACACAAGCGATATCTGAAACAAATTCAATCCAATAATGGCGTCAACAATAGCTGCGTGAATGCGGGCACCGATTGGTTGTCACACTCGGAGTACTGTCTCCACAGTTGTCCGATGAATGGCGACGAAGAGCGGCGACTGGCGGTCGTTGAGTGTCTCAAGTCAGCGTCCGAACAGGTATTATACTTTTGACCGCACTTTTGCGCTATTGTTTCCTATGAATGGCTTTTTATAATGTATTTTTTGTTTGGTTTTCAAGGAGTCGGGAATTGAGTCATTTGTGGACGAATTGTGCGCCAAATTAAAGACAATTAAATCGTTGTCGGAAACGAGCGAAATGGTCGCCGACTCCAAAGCCGATATCAACTGCAATAACGGCGTGAAGAAAGCGGTGACGCGTCAAGAGATGGCTATCAAATATTACGCGGCGTTTCCCTCCCTCGACACCAATTCCGTGGACGACACCAACGCTAACACTGTTTCCAAAGCGGACACCATTGAGCCCACAGTCCAGAAGAAGAGCGTTAAGAATAAAATCCAATGGAATGGACAGAAGATAATTGAATTTATGAGTAAAGGATCGCTCGACGGTGTCTTATTCTTATACTCATTGATGGCCTTCTTGTCTAAGTAGTCGAGTTGGAAGTCATCGATCACTTCCAGCGTTAACTCTTTGCGCCCGTTCTTCATGACGAAAGACAAGAGTTGAGCGCATATGATATCTTCGGTCATGTCGTGGATTACACACAAGTCCTTCACTGTCACCGCAATTGGGTATCAAAACCACGGATTAATGGATCAAATAAAGTGATAAAAACTTGTGTCAAAACACAATGCGAATATTTACTGTAGTAGCCACTATCACAACATTTTCAGCCTGTTGAGTAGGGAGTCACAGACGAGCGTCTAGTCGCTTTACGGCCTGTATAACTGCCAACCTAGTCGACTTCTTCACTTCAGTTATCACAAAAATAATGGTTAAAAACAACAACAAAAACAGACAACAGGTTTAGCGCCAAAACTTTTGGATCACGTGATAGTCAGACATAAATTACGGGCCAAACAGTGGACGACACGTGACATCCGATCTCTCAGTCTTTCCGGTTTCAGACATTAAACGTGTCGACAGTTTTAGTACACATTTTTCGGTGAGTTTGACCACAATTTCGGACTTAACCGCCGATTATCACAACAATCATTGACCGAAAATCAATGACTAGACTCTCAACCCCTGTATTAACCAATGTTTGTCCCGCAGACCCGAAAGTAAGAGCCAATTGGCCGCTGAAGTGATGCCCAAACAAATCAAAGAAATCAAAGACTTTTTACTGACGGCCCGTCGGAAGGACGCGAAGTCCGTGAAGATCAAGAAGAATAAGGACAACGTTAAGTTCAAAGTGAGGTGTTCGCGATACCTGTTCACCCTGGTCATTCAGGACAGGGAAAAGGCCGAGAAACTGAAACAATCGCTTCCGCCCGGCCTTCAGGTCAAAGAGTTGAAGTAGTGGTCAGATGTTACAGTGGGCTTCTAACTAGGTGTGCAGATACAAATATTGATGACATTACACATAATTTGCGAGTAAACTAAATATTAAATTACTATTATTTACAGACTTACTGACGAACTTATTGTGCACACAGAGACGTTTTGATCGCCATTTCAATTGACGATTGTTTTGCTGTTTTGGTTGAGATTTAGTTCTTGACTATTGTTTAAGACTTTAAATACTTGATTACATATAAACTCGATATGAGTTGCGATCCTATGGCGAAGAATCGCCACATCTGTGGCCGCAGTGTTGTGTTCGTGCCGTACAGAGAGTGTCACGTCGTTAAGTATCACCAGTGGATGAAAGAGCCGGCCCTCCAATACTTGACCGGTTCCGAGCCCTTAACGCTGGCCGAAGAGTTCTCGATGATGTCCAGCTGGACATCGGATGTGAATAAATGCACATTCATTATACTGGACAAAGAGCTGTATCAGAGCTCAAGCGCTTCCAGTGATGACGAGAAACAGGTCGAGTCAATGATTGGTGACATTAATATATACATTGATACCAATGAGTCGACGGTATTGAGCGCTGAGTTGGAGATAATGGTGGCCGAAGAGTGCCATCGCGGTTGCGGTAAAGGCAAAGAAGCGGTGCGACTGATGATGAGGTTCGCCAATGAGGTGATTGGCGTTCAGAAGTTTGTGGTAAAGATTAAGTATAGCAATGAGGGCTCACACGCCATGTTCACTAGGTTTGGCTTTCGGGAAGTGTCCAGAAGTGATGTCTTCGAAGAGATCACATATGAATTGGTTGCGGATCAGCAATGGGTTGACGGCATCCGAAGTGACACTAATTATATTCAATATGTTTTGCTATAAAAGTTTTGAACTATGATTTAAAATAAGTTTTTTAGTGTTTTGATTGCTATTAAAATTATAGTTATTTTTATTATTACTTTCAATTTATTTCAATACAATTAAAAACAATATTCTCTTATTTCTGCATTCAATTAAAAAATTACAATTAAATAAATAATAAAAATAAAAAACATTTGGATTTTTCAAAACCTAAACGCTTATTGGAAAATAAGCCAAAAATCACTTTATTTTCACTTTTCTTAATTTATATATTAAATAATCAATTGATTGTTAATATAGAAGAGATTTATAGCGCTCGTAGTGGGGGTACGGGTGGGGGTGTGGGGGAGGGAAGTGGGGGGCAGTCGACGGGACTGGCGGTTACCTATCCATGTGTTCGTTGCGTATATTGGGATTGAATCGGGGGTCGAGCAGAGGGTCGCTGTCGGCGCTCTCGCGGCCAAACTTGAGGAAATAGTGCACTAAAGTACACAATCCTATGAATACTAGAATTCCGATCACAATTAGGGGCCGGTATGTAAAGGTCGGGAGGTTTCGCCGGTTGGAAAACGTCGAGTGGGATCTGCAAAGACATCAATCATATTGTATTAGACAATGGATTCACATAATGGCATCAAAAACACATGCGATTGATAGCCAGAGTGTGTCCACACATACCGTAACCATCGCGACAGGAACTCCATCGGCGATTTGCGCCGATACTTGTCCTCATCGATGTCGAGCAGCGACTTTCGGGAACCGTTATTGTCGTACGATTTGCTGTTAGTTCGGGTGGAAGAGAACGCAGAGTTGGTGTCGCTGTTGGAATAATTGGAGACATTGACGGGAATCGAATGGTTGGATGAGTTGTTGGCCGTCGGGTTGTGATGTATCACTTGAGGCACTGATGAGTTGAATGTCGACGACATGTCCAGCGACTGATTCGATAGTGAGCTCTGGTTTAGGTCCGTATAGGAGGCGTCGTTTGAGGACTCAATTAACGGCATTCCGAGTCCAATGCGGGCCCAACTCTCGTCCGATAGGGTCCGCCGCAGAGCCGACACAACCGGACTGTTGGTCGCCTGAGACGGGAATATCGGCTTAAGACATGCGGGACAGGTATAGCCGGCGGGCGCTGTATTCGCCGGCAAAGTGTTGGCCGATTGTGTCAAACAACTCAAGTGATAGATGTCTGGAAAAATGAGACAAAAAGATGCGTTAGTTTTGTAGCGGAAAATCAGTGGTCAGAAGAAGACATACGATAACAGAGTAGACGTATCGTCGGCTGCGATGACAGGTCTTGTCTACAGAGACCACAGACCGGTTCGTAAGCGCTGTCTTCCAGCCATTGAAGATATGGGGCGACAATACACTGCAAGAGTCAATGATAGGCACATGTAATCAATACGAGTGATCACTGGATCAGTTCATTACCGTGTCTGGAAGACCACGCTACTATAGTATGTTATGAGCGTCTGTAACTGAAACACAAGTTTCGTCTTGACTAACCACTGGAAGAAGAAGCCTGTAAACGTATTTGGGTAGCTACCAAGCCGCGCTCAGACCGGGAGAGAGAGGGAAAGACAATCGATGGCCAAAACTAGCGGTGAAGATATCACTCAACAGATCTCTTCGGTGACAGTTTGGATGACAGGCGAAGAGTGGACTTGAAGTGTGTTTTGTTTATGTATTGAAATGAGTGAACAACTCATCGATGGTTTCGTAAGCATTTCGTCCATAAATTACGGCAAAGAAAACAACGATTGAGTCAACTCTTGGACGTCATTCGCGACGACAAGACATCACAATAACAACAATACATAAACCACTTCTTGTGATATCACTGAACGGATCCGTTGTATATCGTTGTCAAAAAGTGGTCACTTATACACACATCCAACCGAAGACATGCTGGGATTAGTTGGCTATGGATCCAGCGATGAAGACTCGGACCCGGAAGAAGACACTGTCGACCAAACTGTGGTTCAAATGACTCGTCCGAAGACAAGTACCGCTGTATCGACACCGACGCCATCGTCAGTGTCCTCATCATCGGTAGAGTCACCCGAAGAGAGGCCATCGTCGGCCACGACAACGACTGGTCTATTCGCTAAACTCCCGGCACCCAAAACCGGAACCGTATCGTCCACTTCAGGGCCGCAGACCTCGTCCGCACTCAACGATATAGTGGTGGCGAAGAGCGGTTCCGGCGGTCCCATTAAGATCGCGGCGCCGTCTCTGAAGTACTACACGGAAGACGACTCCGACGAAGAGGCCGAGAGGCGCGCCAAACGCTTCAAAGGGTCCGCCACTGGCACTGGTCTTAAGGGACTGTTGCCGAAGCCCAAGGGTCTGACAGCGGCCACCGCTGTGGCACTTATACCTCAGTCGTTAACGCGGAAGAATGCAAACCAAAAGACCTCATCTGTGGCTAAACCAGAGGCGAAGGGAATCAACTTTTTCTTCAACAACGATATCAGCGAAAAAACGGGTGATTTAGTGGACACAGAGTTACACGAAGAGGAATTCGGACCCAAACCGCCGCCCGCTGTCAGCGCGCCGACGGTGTCATCGGATCCATACCCTGTGCAACAAACACCTTCGCCGGCAAACCAGCGCTCACTGGAGGACATGTCGTACAAGCGATTGATTGCGTCCAAGTTTGGCGAAGAGGCGCCCGAAGACATCAGCATTGTTGACGTGGATGTGTCCAAAC